TCAAAATGAAATATTTCTTAAAAATCTTTTTTTATTGCATACAGTTGAGTCTACTTTGTTCCAGTACTCAGTTTACAGGAAGTCTTGCTCTGTGCTGGTGTACCTTACAAATGTCTTGTAAGAATCACTTCATAAAATCAGGCAGAACTTAACGGTGTTTGTCTCTCCTCTTCTTGGCTCTCAGCTCGTCCAGGCGTCTCCAGAGCTGATGGCATTTGGTTCAATCAGTTCAGATTGGTGGCCTTGGATCCACCACTTCACGGGAGACATCCATACCGCTGACAGCACAGGTAGTGCCATCAATGCCCAACTTCACCATAAATTTCCAGTAAAAGACAAGCAGAGCATCTTATGCAGAAGTAGAATTGCAAGTTAATTCTGATGTAAAAATAAATACTTTGTCTCTTCTTTGTGTTGACAGTTGATGTGAATCTCAGAGATGGAGTTACATATCACCAGATGCAGGTTGGTGGTGAGAAACTCAGGAATCTTTCTAATAGGAACAATTTTTGCTAGCTAAAAATAAAAGTCATATTTGGCATATAAGTCTATGTAAAACTGCATTGAAAAACAATTAAACTATTGTTTGTATAAATGTCGTGTAGGTCCTCCTGCAGAGGCATAGTGCCAATGTAGGCTGGTTGGTGAACAACAAATTTATTCAGAGAATAAATAGTTTGCTGATGGCATAGTGCCAACTATTATTTCATTAAAATTCAATTTTATGGATCTGTATTACTTTACAACTGCAGGTGTTGACTCTCCCACAGATGGGTCTCATTTTGGAACAGTGTTTTAATTTCAACTTCATCATGATACTGAACTTCTGTCTGCGGCCTCTGACATGGTGTTTTGTTCGAATGTTTTCAGGCGATCATTGAGGAACTGCTGAATGAGAACAGCTACTATGAACCAACAAACAGCAGGTAAACTGGAAATGATGTATTTAACTGAATCATTAGACTCACAAAATCTAGCGCTTGAGCTTTTCTAAAAACTAGTTCAAGACAATTCATTATTATCATCACTTGTCTTGTTCAGCGCACACAAACCTTTAATGAATTTCATTTCAATAGCAGTAATTGAATAGAATAGAACAGAATTAGAATAGAATTCAACTTTATTGTCATTGCACATGCACAGGTACAGGGCAACGAAATGCAGTTTGCATCCATCCAGAAGTGCTTTAGTGATATAGATATATTACAATATATATTAGCAATAATATAGATATGTGAGTATATTACAGAAATGGGTCTATTATGGTATGTTATAATGTACACGGTATGAAGTATGTTGTGAATATTCTATAACTATAAGTATGTACAGGCTGTAGTGAGTACAAGCTATGTACAGGCTATGAACAGGATATAAATATGAAAAACTATACAGAATATGAAATAAATAACTTTACAGAATCTGAGATATACAGCTATACAGAAATGGGAACTATGCAAGTTGTAAACAGTTGTAGGATTAAAGATTATCGAATGTACAGAATGATTATTTACACAGAGCTATACAGTAGTGCAGTTAAGATAAGTGAGGGTGAGGATAGTTTCTACAGAGGCTATTGCTTTGTTTCTGTGGCTACAAAATGTAAATGAACTATTATGCTGATTTTCAACTCTTTATTTTTGCATGATTTACAGTTAAAAAAAAACAACTCTTTGTTTGTCTTATGTTGGGCCTTGTTGCAGTCCCTCAGTTTATCCATTGTCTGAAACTAGCTATTTTAACATTGACTCCTTTGAACAAGTTTTCTTTTGATTGGTTGCCCCTCTCAAGCAAAAATTTGGAACCGTAGGCGGGTGGGGCTTCTGTATTTATAACTGCAGCTGAATGACTGAGAAGACCATATTAAGATAATACCTCAGCTCAGGTACAAATATCAGTAGGAAAATACAAAAAATACAAATAAATTACAAACAAATATAAAAGAAGTAAGATATTACACTCTATACAACGGTAGCATACACAGTATGTGATTATGGATACTGTGTATGGATATTAGGGATATCCAGTCTATTTTACATCAGAAGTAGAAACATAGAAAGGAGTAGAAAAAAACTGTTTCAAACTGAGTGTTTAAGGCAGTCTGAAGCCTGAGCATTTGGTTCAGAGATTACTTATATATATAATGGGGCCATTATCTGAAACTTTTACCGTATGTTAGTCTCTTTTCCTTTTGTTATTCCAAACTAAGTTTAGTGGGACAGTTGTTTGAAATGAAATAAAGATTTCTCTCATTTTTCTTTTTTTTCTTTTTTTCTTTTAGGCTCAGAAAGAAAAGAAATGACCAAGAAAAAAAGTAACAGTTATCTTCACTCATCCCTAAAAACTCAAACTTTAAATTTATTTGGAGAAGAATGAGTTCACAATGATACTTCAACACTGCTTGAAATCTAATGAACATTTATCCCAACCCTCATTACAAAACATATTCTCACTGAACATAAAAAGAATATAAAAGTAGTAAATGCATACATTAATTTGTTTGCACATAAACATGATTACGGTGATATTTTACCACAGTGCTCATAGTCATGTTGTCACCTACTCTTTTGATCTCAGGCATTATTGTTGTCTCTTTTTCCCATAAATGTGAAGTGACTGTATGAATTTCCAAAGATATATTATATATGAATATATATACATATCTACAGATAGATACGGATGTAATTAAGTTTGAGACTGACAGTTATTCTATTCTCAGTTCAAAATCAAAATTTAAAACTTGTTTAAAATGCTTTTTTTGAAGCACTTTATACTCTCAGGCCCAGACACTGCATGTCACAGCATGTGTTTTTCTAGTGGCTGCAAGCCACAGTGACCTTGTTTGCTTTCTAAGAACTGATAAGATGCAGCACATTGACCTTAATTCTACATATCACAATTTTTGACTGGATTTGAAAGAAAAAAAAAAACAGGTCAAATGTTTTGCACTGTAATAAAATGCACTCAATCAGCATTTTTACTATAAAGAAGATCTAAAATATGACTGACAGCTGAAGAAAAGCTTTCTTTTGCATTTTGACTCACTGTTATCTGTATAAAACTATTTAAATGTTTGTATTAATAAACATTATTTAATTCAGCAAATGTCTGCCTGTAATGTTTTAATATTACTATAAATATTGTGTATTCTTTTGATGTGCTGTGAGGGCTATTCATGTTGAAGGTGAATTTAGTGCATAAAATGTGCAGGTTTGATTTCCAAAAGTTGATTCTGTTCATCTGGATGTTTTCAGTGGGAGAAACGTTTCGTCACTCATCCAAGTGACTTCTTCAGTCTCAGCTGACTGCAGGTTTCCCCAATCTTATAAACAATAAATTGCATATTGACTGAAACCAGCACAGTGAAGGGCTGGGAGGTCAGTTCCTTAATCTTAATTATGCAAACTCTCATGACCATTGATCAACAACCACTGACCAAAACCCACTGATCAATGGCCATGAGTACCATTCACAGAGAGTTGGGGAATGGCTGCAATCACAGCATTGTAAGATGGCGAAAGATGTACCCTTTGGCCCCCCTCCTCGATTCAGAGATGGTCTTTCCCTTTTCACATAAATGGCCTCCTTGACTCCAAGCTCAAACCAGCGTTCCTCCCTGTCCAGGATGTGTACATCCTCATCATTGAAAGAGTGTCCACTGGCCTGTGTAAATAGACTGCAGAGTCCTGCCCTGACGAGGTAGCTCTTCCGCTTCGCCAGAGGTTGTTTGGTTTCCCCGATGTATAAATCCTTAACTGGGCTGGTTTCAGTCATTATGCAATGTACTGTTTATAAGATTGAGGAAACCTGCAGTCAGCTGAGACTGAAGAAGTCACTTGGATGAGTGACGAAACATTTCTCCCACTGAAAATGCTATGTTCAGATGAACAGAATCAACTTTTGGAGATTTACTTGTCTGGATGATTGAACATGCATCAAGACGTGCAGGTTTGATATTGATTGACTCAAATTAACAGTGATGGCAGAAGCAGTCAGATGAAGTAAAAGTACAAAAATTCAGAGCTAAATAAAGATCTGCATTGCAAATAAGTAGTTATTGTCAGCAATATATATTTGAACAAAAATAAAAGTATGAAAGAAAACTAGCTAGTATACTAGTATATATTTTTAACTGGTGTGTGTGTGTGTTATCTAAGCTAATCTATTATCATAAAGTAATATAGAGAGTAAAAAATCACAACATATCTCCTTTATGTTTAGTTGACAATTGTAAGTACACAATAGGATTAAATGGGAAATATTAAGAGCTTTCCATCATTGATATTGATGGAGGTTCATTTGGAAAGAATCCATTCTTCAGTAACATAAAGGAATCACTGTCATGCACATTAGGTTTGCTTGCAGCTTAGTCAGGGTTTAACTGTTAATTACACAATTTCAGTTTCATTTAATTTTCCCATACACGTAAATCAGATTTGCTGAAACTTCAGACTAATTAAAATTTATTCATTACTATAACAACCCACTGAGATGATGATGGACTTGTTTTTGAGGGGTCAAAAATGCAACAGAAATGAAAAACACAGACCAGTAATGGGAAAGACAAACACAAACAAGAAACATTAAAGAAATTTAAAGGACACACAACTATCAAAACACAAAGAAAGGGAAATAAGTACAGTGGTGATTTTATTCTTATTTGGTCTGTAATTATTTGCTTTTTCCATTTTATCAAAGTGATAAAATATGTTAGACAGCAGTCTCTAACGTAGACTTACTCTAAATTTTGCCCCACTTAGGACACGTCATCAGATAAAATTATTTACTGCTGTATGCAGTTCATCAATTGATCAACAGGGGGCAGTATGAGCCTTTAGTAAATATGGTCTGACCTCAAACAACCTCACAGCCCCATGAAATTAAACTTGAACCAGAAAAAGAAATACTTAAATTCTCAGTGGAAACATGACAGAGCAGCATAAAATTTAATTCACAAGACTTTAATAGAACAAAGAAAAGCATATGAAATGTGATCTGTTTAGTGATATAACAAATTAATGCAACATGTAAAATGACACAATGCATACAGTCTTACTGCAACGTTTGGGATGTGGACATCAAAATAAGTAAAATCACTTTTAGAAATGTCAAGACATAGAAAAGTTTGGGCACAATTAAAATAGGCACATTTGAGTTCTTACAGTACACGGGATGCTTGCTCAGATGCTTACACAAAGCAGGTTAAGGTCCGTGTATCTTTAATGTAAAATCATCACATTAGTTTCTAATTTGTTACAGTCTCATCATTTGTTGCATTTTGTTAGCATTTGTGTGGATTTATGATCACTCAGATTTCAGATGCTGTGATACTGTCACTGTAATGCCCACGGTCCACTCTGTGTGCAAAGCAAGTTCGTTACTACTTACAGAAACTGGCATTTAGCCATGCTAGCAGCTAAGCGCCTTAAGATAAATGTGAACATCTGAATGCTAACACACTCACAGAAGGCTATCATTATTCACATGCTGATGGAAATGTCAGCTTTGCAGGTATTTTATCATTAAGTGATTATGCTCATTTCCAGTTAAATACTTTTATTATTGGACTCCATTAGAGTATGATTCACACATTTATCTTATACTGGCCCCTCAGTTCACTGACCACCTTAAACAGGACATTTTAGCTCCCTTCCCTCTTTCTTCAGATTGGCTGCCCCTCTCAAGACAAAGTTTCTGTGCTCATGGCTGAAGCTGTGCCAAAAGTATAAAAAACCATAACCAAAAACCAAACAAAAAAACAGTTGTTTGTAGGAAGCCTGAACTTTTGGCTCAGACCTCAATATTTAAAATTTTTAGCCATCTTTAATATAAGCATCTATCACTGTAAGAGTACAGATATGACAAGAAATAAGGACGAGCACAATAGGTCCTCCTTAAATAGCGGTCAAAAATATTTTTTCACCTGATATTGGCACTACAGAGAAAGTTAAGAAGAGTGGTGCCACAGCACAATCATGGCTGAAAATCTAGGAAATGTTTTTGTACAATCTTCATACAGCAACCAACATGTTTTCTCAGTATCAAAATAATAATAACAATAATAATATGCTTTATGATAATAGTGGGAAAACCTTTTTCCATTTAGAAAGTAAAAAAGAGAATAAAGTTGTATATTATCATTAGCTTACTCTTGTAATAAATCTGTCAAGCTGTAAACGAGTCCAGCAGATTTCCAACAAATTTTACCAGAGCAGCTTTACAAAGAGATTCTAACATTGACAAGCTCATACAAACACTGCTATGTTTATTGTCCTTATGCATTACCTCTAATCCCTCATTTCCTACACCGTGTCAGTTCAGACACATTAGTTTGTTAACTCCGATTATGAACACTTACCCTTATGGAGGAAAAAACATTGCATTTCCCTTTAATTTTGTACAAACAGAGTTTGAGAAATTTGTATATAAAACCTAAAGATTGATTCCTTATATTTGCTATCTTGCTATAACTAATGCTAAATGAGGTAAAATTAATCCATGTGATATTTCATGCAAATATAAATACAGTAAAAACCAGAAACAGTAAAGAAAAGACTGAGAGTGATTCTCAGAGGTTATAAAAATGGAGATTAAAGCATTACTGCATCTTCCTTTGAAGTAGGATTTTTGTTTACAGAAATACTTGTTAATGTGTGATTTAAATCTCTTCTTTAAACATGGAGTCATATCTGCAGATCGAGCTCAGACCTCTGGACAATAACTGAGGTAAGTCACTCTCTGATCTGCAGCTGCACCTTTGAGCGATTTCCCTCGGAGGAAAGAAAAGTTCTTTGAGCAGCTTCAGAGTGGAAAATCAGCAGAGTTCATGTGCTGTGAGGAGACGGGGTGAGTGTGCTGAGTGGTGCCCGACTTCTGGTGTTTCTCCAGGTTCTGCAGATCCTCCAGCATCTCCTCGATCAGTGGAGGCATGGAGCCCGGGATCTCCATCTTCAGTGTCACCACTCGCTCAGCTCCTGTAGACATGGTTTAACAATGCACGTGTAAAGCTTTATTGGCAGGGAGACTTAATGTGATATAGATAAACAAAGTCTGCGTTTTACCCGTATTTACTGACACCAGCTTTCACCTTTGATTGTCAGGCATGTCAAATGTTGTGTTGGTTTTTATCTTGTGTCAAATATGCTGCACATAAGTTTGTACTTTATGTTTAATGTGAAAATAAATGCACAGCTACAATTCCCCTGTGGGAGAGGAACTGGAGTGTGTCAGATACACAATGTAGGAACCCACCAGTTACACTAAGAGGAGGATGAAATGCATAACATGCCTTGCAGCATGAGGCAAAGAACACTTTGCTCAACTATTATGTGGTAGCCTATTAATAGTAACACTAGTTCTGTAGCAGGCAGCCACTGATGACAGCAAATTCACTGCGAGACACTCAACAAACACTGTGTAGATGAAAGCACTTTGAGAAAAGGAAGATTTGAAAACAGTCAAAGAAAATTCCACTAAACCCAAAGTTATTTCCACCCGGTTTTTATCCAGAGGAATTCAACAATAAATAAATAAATAAATAAATGAAAAATTTCAAAAGACAAAAAGATGAAAGCAGGGGTAAATTGTTTTCTTTTCGTTTGTATTACAAAAACTTTTAAATATTAAAGAAGTATAGTCATTAAAAATGCAGGTAATACTTTATAAAAAATAGTACAGTATTAGTAAGGCATTAGCAAGTGCTTAATTCATGATTTATAACGCAATACTCCTCCTTAGTATGTCATTTATAAATACAGATATGTTTATTCATCTGTTTCTGTTACACCATGCACAGCTACAGGGGCCTTCCAATGCATAATCATTTCTAGTAATAAACATTTTCATAATAATATATTTATAAATTACATACTAAGGAGGAGTGATGCTATATAGATGATAAATTAAACGCTTGCTAATACTTAGTATACTAATACGAATGCTTAATCATGTGACATTCATCTAATACATAATACTTTTTACTAATCCTGGGTAAACATGACTTCAGACTTAATAGCGCAAAGAAACCAAAAAATAGCAACGTTCTGATCAGAAAGGTTTTACATTTCGGACAAAAGTAATGCAGTAACATTGGCAGTCATTCAAAATAGAATAGCAGGATTGTACAAACTGTAACAAACTGTAATCTATGAATTGAAATACTTTGCGACAAGGTGGGGTTCCCCTGACCTTTAGCGCTGATGCTACGTAGGTCGGTAATCTTCATGAGGGCCTTGGGGAACATCAGGGGCATGCTGGGTCGCCGCTTACGGGAGTAGATCTTCAGCGCCTCCAACAGAGGCTCCTGCAGGACTTCTACCTTGGACGGCTCCTCCAGGTCCTCCCGGTCTGTCCAAGACAGATATCGAACATTTCAACTATTTCAAATTTGGAGTTGTTAATTGTTGATTGTTGTTGTCATATTACTACAGTAATTGGGATTGTGAAGACTTAGTACCTCCAGAAACAAGACAGATGGCACTGAGGAGCCCACTTTCCGTGTCATCCATCTCTAGCGGCAGCAGCTGCCCAGCAAAAGTGAAAACCTGATCCGTCAGCGGCCCAAATCCTGCATTGTGGATCTGAGTACGAGTCAGTGTCAAGCCATCGGAGAAGGTCATGGTGTCCTGGTCAGGAGTGTAGCGAGTGCAAATCCTCAAGATCTAAAAGTAGGAAACATGTATGTGTACCAAGTCATTTTTTTCAATAATATTGTATTTGTCTTTAAAAAATGTTAAATAAAAAGACTCAAAAGCAAACAAACAACAATCTGTTTATATTCATTAAAATGTGTCAATCCTTATCATTCAAAATTTGTCTGTATTGCAGGCAGAAGGCCTTTATCATATGGTTCAATACTTATATTGCATAATAGTTTAGAAAGAAACCTTCCTGCTTTTAATACTCAGGCTTTTCCAGTTGTTTTTTTTATCATTTCTTTGTAATGATATCTCATCTGTATGAGTAACAGCAGACCACTCTAGACATCTCTCCAACTCCTTGTCATCTAAACTTTAAATGATATTACATGCTGTGCCCTGTTTCTGGAGAATTGCTTGAATACAAATATTAAATAACATATAATTGGCGTTCAATATGGTGCATCACACTTCTATCAAAAAACATGAAAACCAAATCAGGAAAACAAAATTCCCAGAGTGATTAATCAGGGAAATTTTGTCACAGAGCTTTTGATGGACTTCCTGCAGAGATTGTGAGAGTGCAGCTAAATTATCAGACTGAGAAAGCAGTTATGACAGACTTGGCAGCGAATGATGGAGGATAAATTAGATGAACACACGCAACACTCTGCCTGAGGACCACTGTCTGTCTGCCTGTCAGTTTGTCTTTGGCATGAATGTCGACAGGCAACGTGAGTCAAGATCTACCAAAGGTGTGAAATGCAGGAAGAGCTGCAACTTTACATAACTTGTTCAGGTCATTTACCTGAAATAAAATACAAAACGGTAGGTGTTTAATGAAAACTATAGTATATGTCAGGCTTTTTGAGGGCTTAAACCACAAATCTAAAGGTAAAAAAAAACAAACAAAAAACATCTTCTGAAATAGACCTACCAAGATGTCAAGGCAGGCAGCTTTGAGCAGAGTGATCTGGTCCGCAATGGTCAGGCCAGTGAAACCCGGCACTTGCTTGGCAAACTCGACCGTCTTGATGATGCACTTGGTGGCCAGCTCGCTGAACTTGTCCCACAGGCCAAGATCCAACTGGATCCGGTGGTCTGAACTGGAGTTCTAGAAAGTGGATCGAAGATCAGGTGTTTGGCTCAAATGAAACATGTTGTTTCAGCGTTGTGATAACGGCTTATTAAAATCTGTGCACATAGCTAAATTATTTAAATTTGAAATATTTTGAAAACTTGAGATCAGCAAAGAGCAGTAAATACAATACTGACATACTTTTACAAACCTATTTACACAATCAGAATCAATAAAAAAACCTTTACGGTGACCTCAAATAGTTCAGCGTTCAGCTGTTTTTTAAAAAATATTTCTGTTTATTTGATGAGTCTGCTAATTGCTTCACTGTGTATACACGGTTTATTTGCTAACCTTATCTGTTTGTTGCTAGGCTGGAAGGAGAGTGTTTCAGACACAAGGACAAAAATACCGAGATGAGAATACTATGACAGGGCACTTCAAAAAGAAATAATGATGAAAATTATGTAACAGTTATGCTAATGCTAATTATATGAGATATGATGAGCTATTTTAATATAACAGATGACTGAACATTACAAGATAATCATTCACAAGTATAAACATTTACTAACATTTGTTTATGTACTTTTTAGCTTTTATCGATTAAGCTCAATAAATTCAACATGTTGGCCATTTCCACAATGGCTGAAAATGTGTATTTTTTTCAGATAAAGTAAACTGGTTCCGCCTTTTTTGGATGTTTTAAATGATGAACGCTAGACGTCAGCATTAAAAATCTGAAATTACACAGAGGTTTAAAAAAACTGCAGCATGTGGTGTACAAGTAATATTTTTCTTTGTTTCAGGCACATCTCTTGGCTAGAAACCCTTACACTCAACCATTTAGAAGGTCTGTGGTTCAATACCCAGCTCCTTCAGTCTGAACAAACTAAGGAGTAGCACACAACAGTAGTGCATCAGTCACTTTGCAGCACGAAGGTTATAGGGTTGAAGCTATCCAAAGACATGCTTGTACCCTCACACCTAATGTTTGGGATTTCTTCACTGGATAAGTGGTTAAAAGAAGATGTCTGAACCCGTTTGTATTCATCACAAGAGTTATCAAAAGGGCAAAAGGATCATCCCTCAATCTGCACAGTACTGTGGAGCTACAGCTGTCATTGGACCATTGGAAAAACATGTGACATATATGTTGTCTCAGTTCTTTTAGTTGGCCTAAAAAAAGAGGCCCTAAATAAATTCACTATTAAAAGCGACTAATTTATATTCAAAAGTAGAGTAAAACCTCTAAATCCCACAGTAAAAATTTTGATAAAGAGTCATTTTCTAAGATGGAAATGAAATTTAAAAAATGCCCAGATTCAAGAGGCTAATTGATTTTTAAGTCAATGGCTCCAGAGGGACAAACGTCCATATTTAGTATCCACTTTTTCTATTATCTGCTGCACTGTTAGGATGTAGGTCGTACATCTTAGCCCTAGTGTACTATTTCAATCAATACAATCTTGTGTTATAGTCTTTAAAGAGCAGAACAACACGTGTCACTCATGTTCGTATGTTTCCTGTTTTGACTCATACTTCCAGGCATCGCTCACTTACATTGCCAAACCATATTTATTTAATGTCACTTTTGTAAAACGGCAACAGTGCTGATTACATAAGCTCAGTTCTTGCAATGTCATGTATTTTTACTGGAAAGTGTCATAATGATATGTACAGTTTTTTCAGTTTCTAAGGACATGTTTACATAAAACAACACACTCCTTTATTTTCTCCTCCTCTTTTACTTTACCTTTTAACAAAGAATAAACCAGTTAAATCTGTGCAAATCAACATCTTCACCAGCATATCTTTAAAAAGAGTTTTGTTTTTTTTCAGTGTGGACCTATATTCAGTTTTCCTTTGCTCTAAAGAAAAATGCTCACATGACATACTGTACATACTGTTGGAAGACATAGAAAATTGTGTGTACTGTAAGTATTGGCAGTGGCTATATGTTAGAATAGAATAGAGTGGGTGCTCCGCCCAGATTGGTGGGTGGGTGTTAGGGGTGGGGTTTGTGTGAACGGAGTAATAGTGTTTGTTTACAGTTCAAATGGCCCAGTGGTAGAAGCTGTTTGTGAGGCTGAAGGTGTGGGACCTGACTGTCTTGAGGTGCCGTCCGGAGGGCAGTGGGTCAAACAGGTGGTGGGCGCAATGCAAGGGTCACCTGTGATGGCCCTAGTTTTTCTGAGACAGGAGGAGCTGGCAGCTCCAGAGGCAACAGAGGGCAGCTAACGATTTTTATGTTACAGGTAGTTACATATATATATATATATATATATATATGTATATATATATGCATGTATGTGTATACATGTGTTCCTAAATAAAAGTGCATGTTTGCACCCCTTCCCTCATGTTGGCATTGAATGTGATCAGGAGTCTGTTTGGTTTTGTTAACAATCAGAGTCTCAAATGTTACCAAACAATTTTATTCTGCATAAGCAAAGAGGAACAGAGGTTAGCTTGTTGCCTCACAGCAAGAAGGTTCTGGATGTGCAGTCTGTTGGCATGGTGGCTTTTCCCTGAGCGCTCCTCTTAACCCACAGCGTTAAAATAGGCATGTTTGGTGAAACTGTGATTCTAAATGGGCTTAATGCGCTTAAGATAATGAAAGAGATGAAAGCTTGAGTTGCCAACAAGACTGTTATCATTTAAATAAAGTTTGTGCATATCAATAATAAAAAGGTATAGAAATGTAACAAGTAAAGGTATAGAAAAGTATCAGTTTATAAGTTTCAGACACAAATATAAGTGTCTGTCATCTCAGCTCTGCTGATCTCTCCTTGGTGAATGTGTTTTTACAGACAGTGTTAACAATATCCAACAGTGACCAACCATGAGCCAGGCATGCAGCAGTGAGTATTCAATGCGGTCCGTTTTTGTTTGGTAATATTAATCATATATCAAGTATTTAAATGTCACTGCCCTGACAGTCAACATCTTTCTTCTTTCGGCCACAGACTATAAAACGATGACATAACAACCATGGAGCCACCATTTGGTTTCAAGTCTTTTCCATGTAATACAACCAGATGAAGGAAGATGCACAAACATACCGTCATTTTCATCAGTCACAAGGCAGCTTTGCCATCGAATATGCCCTACTTTATCATAATTACGAGCAGCATAATTTAAAGAAAAAATATTGTTTTTGCTTTAAAACTTGAAAATAGTGATTAAAAGCCCAAAATCATCAGGAAAGGGTTTAGCGAGGTCATCAATCACATTCGAAAAATAGACATTTTTTCATATTTCGTTTAAAATAAGTAAAATGTATCAACATTTTGGGATATATAATCTTATTTTTCAGTTTCTGCCATATAAGTTCAAATTCTCCTTCATCTACACATCCATACAATGTTTACCCAAGTCAATTAAAATCATAATAAAGTGCTGGACAGACCTCACAGCTTTGATCTTTTCCTCTTTGCAGGTTGTCTTCCTTCTGTAAAGATTATTGTTTTGAAACGTTAGCTTCATGTCCGGACTTACTGTGGTGTATTTTCCCAGCTGGCAAAGGGAGGGGAAGGTCTCTCTATGAGCTCTGCATATTTTCTCCACGATCAGGCCGAGCTCTGCTGTCAGCTCATACGTCTCCATGATGGTCATCTTCACTGCTTCCTTCTTCCCTTTCCTCTTGTTTCTGTCGTTTCTCACCGCTGGAGAAAACGGATGACGCAGACCATAAGATGATTAGGAAATAAGGTATTCGAGCAGTTCCACAGGTGGTTTAAAATTGGTTAAACTGGTATCATTCTCTGTTTAAATAAATGTTAATGTTACAAAACACCTTCTTTAATTTTGAGTATTTATATTAAAAATGCTCAAGTTAATAAACTAACCTTTTAAAAGAACAAAAAAGTGTTTAATATGAAAAAAAGTTGTTTTTTTTGTTTTCTGTCTGAGGCCAAATACACAGGGAAAATCGTACAACGATACAAATGAAGAAACAACCTGAAAAATGGTCCCTACAGTGAGGAGATCTAGTGGCTCTGATATGTTACGGGAGGCATTTTGGTAGCATGGTTTAGGTTCATTAGGTTCATTAGTGCCCCTAGAGCAATGAATCACTGAAAATGAAAACAGCTGTTCTTAGTGATTAAATTTATCCTTTAATTAAAGATTTATATCACAATTGGAGCACGCTCTACCAGGATGACAACCTTCCTCATTTAAAGGTTTCAACTTTAGGATGAACATAACTCAACCCACTTAAACTCCTACGGAAGTTTAAAATTAATGTGCTATACAATGTTCATCTTTAAACTAAACTGACCAAAAACACAAGTGTAGGCAATTGTCTGTCTGTATATCCTGATCACTTAAAATCATGTCAGACTCCTTTTTTGAGACCAGATCCTAAAGATTAGCTGATTTTGCAGTTGACTCCAGAAGCAGGAGCCGTACTATTTTTTTCAAATTCAGTGTTGACTTTCTGCACAGACAGAAGTTAGGAGACTCGGGACAAAAGTCAATAACGTCCCACACTTGACTTTGATTAATGTAAGTCAGTAAGCAAGCTGGAGGCAAAGCAAGAATCACCTGACAAATAAGGCTGCATCAGTGTTTTAGTCAAGGAAACGACAAAAGCACACAATGTGATCCAAGGATGTAAAGTACACTGGTGGATAAGAGCTGAGAGCAAAAACTCTCAGTGCTCCAAGATAGACAATAAACAACCCATGTAAGTACTGTGAAGACACATGTGTATCAATAAGTTGTATGAAACGGGGATGTCTTATGAAAAATTGTCTTCATCCTTTAAGCAGAGTTTCAGCGAAGAAACATTGACCTCTATGTTAGTTTTTCTTGTAATCTGACATAGCTCTGTATAAAACAACAAAAAAAACAGGAAGTCCTGCAACAGATAGTGTTCCCTGGCAGATCCCTGATCTTACCATCAGCCAAACACAACTGTTCCTTTAATCAGGACCCAGGAGACTGCATTCACCAGTATATGAATGGCGGTTTTAACCCATTTTACCTTAACGATGTTTAGACATCAGGTGTGATTTAAATAGAGCTCACTGGAATTTCAGTTTTGGTTCTTAATAATTTAAACCACTTCCTGGTATAAATCACTCTGGAATGAAAGCATGTGTCACTGAGCTTATGTGTTATTCCAGGCTGCACGTGAAAGCAGCGTAACCAGGTTAGCTTTTCATAATCACTTCGGGAACAGTGTCAACACGTTTCTCTGTGTCCCACTGCCTCAGACGGCTACACACATGTCAGGAAAGCTCAGGATTACGCAACACTTAACTCCAACCACTCCTCCTCCTCTTCCTCCTCCCTGTGTATGCCCTACATCCAGCCGTCATTGTGTAAACACTCCAATAGAGATCATGTTACACGCTGCCTGAGAGCAGTTACATAGCATCCATCTGTCCACTACATGTGATATGTTTATGTAACTTGTTTGAGCATAGAAAAACTATAATGAAAACATGTGGATGGGTGGATCCTTCAGTGTCGGCCTGTCGCCGCCCTTTGCTCATTCCACATAACACATTCTCAGTTATTTAGGTCACTGCACTGCTGGGTATTAGAGCCTTTGTTTCTATTGTACAGTCCCTGTGCCCGAGAGCTGCTGTACTTCACAGAGAACTTATAAAAAAAGAGAAAATCATATGTTAAAGTGTTATTTGCACATTTTTCTCACAACTAATTATATATTCTAAAATAAAGACGTTTGTAGTTACCACACAAAAAAAAAATTTCCTAACCCACTAACAAAATGAAAATCTTGGGTTGTTAAGATGACAAAGCATTAAAACTCCCTTTGAGAGCTCAAGAGTGTATCAGCAGTTCTTAAGCTACACCTTTATTATGTAGCTATAATTTAGTTTGCTTTAATATGCATTACCTTGGTCGTATATATGCGTTTGTTATTCTAGATTTTATATATTTTCTCTCTGACAAACAAAACTATGAATTTTCAGTCTTAAAGTGCTATCTAGTTACAATTAAACAATAAAGACTCTAAATATGCTGACAGACAACATATTACAACATTATGCATTTTGAATTGACAAAAGAAGTTTAATTTCTTTTTCTTCCACTTTAGCTTAAACTTTTTCTGAAAAAAGACTTTCTTGAATATAGATTACCACAGATCAATAAGAGGAGCATTTTCCTGCTCATTTTGTTTTGTTATATTGTTATTTCTTTAATATCGACAGAAATAAGACACTTTTAACATACATGTAGTTTTAATGGCAGGCACCTTTTATGGGAAACAATCTGTCCCTTCTTTGTGGATGTTTACCACCATATAGGTAACAACAAATTGCATTAAAACTTCAATACATAGCTCGTTGCTCTGATTGCAGTAATAAATAGGCCGCTTATGTGGCAGTTTTTATCAGAGTATCTCAGTAAGATGAAACCATTTAAACTTGAGAGGGAGGATTTCTCGTTTAAAGTCAGCTGTGATAGGCTAAAGCCTCCCCCTCCATGACCCAGAGTAAGATAAGCTGGTGAGAAAATAGGTTGTTGGATGGAGAGAGTTTCTTTTGTACTGCACTATTTGTCTAAGGTTACACAGTTATATCCTACGGAGCCCCTCTGATGACATGGTCCAAAAAACAAATAAATTGTGGCCACAAAATACTACTTCGTGGGCACGAAATGGTATAACGTGCCCATGAAATACTTATTTGTGGCCACGAAATACTATTTCGAGGGCACAAAATAGGTATAACATGCTAATTTGTGGGCACGAAACACTTGACCTTGACATAACCGTGATCCTTCCCTTGCAGATCCTTCCCGTGAGGCCCTTGCAGTTGGTTGACAATAAAATCTATCCCAGCATCCAGGTCGTACTTACGTCTGTAAAGCAACTGGGCTCTCAATATCCTGTTTAAATGTCTCTCCGTAATAATGGTTCCTTGCATTGCCAGGCTTCAAAATGCATTTGTAGCTCATTCCCAGCCTAAAATAAAAGTCAATCATACTTTCTCTGTCCATGATGTATGGGTTTAGCCTACTCTTATGCTTATGTCTCTACGCAGCTGTCCAGGAATTGTATCAATATGATGTGCGCACGTTATCTATTTCATTGCCACAAATGCGTAATTCGTTGCCACGTTATACCCAATTCGTGCCCACAAATTAGCATTTTGTGCGCACGTTATACCTATTTCGTGCCCTCGAAATAATATTTCGTAGCAACAAATAAGTATTTTGTGGGCATGTTACACTATTTTGTGCCCACGAAGTAGTATTTTGTGGCCACAATTTATTTATTGTTTGGACCATGTCATCAGAGGGGCTCCGTAATATCCAATTCTCAAATACGCAGTTTCCTTATATCAAATTTCTGAACACTCGGTCATCCCAACAAAACCACAAACCCAGTATTATATAAAACTTGACACAAATAACTTTGAGTAAACCACACTCACGAACTGACCAGCTCTTTATATGCTGATAAACTTGAGTTGGTCATTCAAATTGAGAACATGACTGCACTGACCTTTTAGTCGTGTTTGTAATAGCAGATGAATCATTTTAAAAGAAAGGTTTAATTTTGACTCTAAATCCCACGAGGCCTGCTGTGAATCAGAGAGGATGTGACACTTACACTCCTTAGACATTCCTACAGCAAAACACCTCTGCAGCCGACAGTACTGACAGCGATTCCTGGTGATCTTGTTAATGATACAGTTCCTGTCGCGGTGACAGGTATACACCATGTTTTTCTGCACGCTGCGGCGGAAGAAGCCCTGCAGAGACACCAGCACAATGAATGAATGATAAGATATTAATTAATTAAGCTATTAAGTTGCTACAATGTGAATAAAGGCCTGTGTGGACTTTAAAGCTAGACAAAAAAGATTAATTTATTCCTAAATTTACTCCTTTACACCTAAAGAGTAAATATTTAGCCTGTTTAAATGTATTTCAGATGTTTAACTCAAACAAGGAGTAAAATTGATTTGTTTGGTCTTCAAAAAAAAAGAAAGAAAAGGAAAATGGATTAAGAAAAAACAAAAACAAATACCGTGTCTGTCTATCCAGTGGTTCATTTAATTTGAACCGATTTAGGTAAAAAAAAATTGTGAATTTATACAGGAAAAAACTAAAACATATGATATTGTCACATTTTGCATATTAAGAAGGTATTTGTTCATTTATCTGTTTAGGAGATTAGTAAGAAAAACTAAGACAATCTTGTAAATACAAGCATGACACAGGGACTTACTTTTAAAAGACAAAGTCTGGGATTTTATCTAAGCTTAACAGAGGGGGCATTGTAAAGCAGACCACCGGCCTGACGTGTTACCTTGCAGCCCTCGCAGGCGCTGACTCCATAGTGGTAGCCCGAGGACTTGTCCTGACACACAAAGCAGGGTTTGTAAGTGCGTGGAGGTGGAGGTGGTGAGGCAGGACGGGTAAACAGGTCGTCCGAGCTGAAGCTGGAGCTGGAACTCTGACTTTCCACCGCTGAAAAACACACAAAATCATATAAAATCAAACGAGCATCTCAGGGAGAATAAAACTGCGACAGTTAAATTTATTCAAATGGATATCAAACTCAGCGCATCCTTTAAATACTGAAACTGAAATATTGCTGGGAAATAACAGCTGCAACAAGAAGTCAGAACATGAAAAATTACTCATTACAGATGAAGCTTTTATTCATTTTGTAACATAAGTTGTTGCCTTGCACAGTTTTTAAAATGAAATTATTTACTTGTTAAGCTTTATATTTGTCTAAAATATACAGCGAGAAACCTGTCAACAAAATAAGCAGTAACAAAAATAATTATCACCATACATGAAATGTACTTTAGACCTTTTATCTGCAAAGCATTCTAAAGTTTTCCTCAAAGCAGACCTAACAAGTAGAAATACCAACATTTAGTGATGAGTTGAAAATTACTGATGAACCATTTCTGACATGATGAAGCAAACAGAGCTCAGAAATGCAAAAGGCAGATTGTATTAAAATGTAGAGGTTATTTAGTGGACTGCCTGCATGCTTCAGAAGAGTTTTTATAACAATAAGGTTTCAAGAATATTCGGTTTTCATTCCACATTCACTAACAGGACACAGAAGAACAAACTGCTGTGTGAGAGATATAGCAAATTATGGCACTTGTGACCTGCAGTTCATGCCAATGCATTTTTATTTATTGTGGCCCATCTGACAATGTTATCATGTTGAGTTAGTGATTTAAAATCCTAGAAAACGCTTCAAGTCTCGGGCCTGTTTACCCAAAACAACAAAGGAACGAAAAAAGCTTTATTGTGTCCAAATATACAAAGCACCTTCTGTTAATTTTTAGTCGTGACAATAGGATAGATTGACCCTACACTGGCCCCTGAGAGTGGTTACACATATATTCAGGCACTGATCGTAGCCGAACAGACCTGAGCAACCAACTTTTTGATGAAATCACCTTGTGATTCCTTCACTGAGCCAAGCGCAGACTAATCTTGCTTTTTTTCTGTGGCAGATTATAGCATGATCTGTACAGCCCCACTACTTCAAACACAACGCTCAGTTTACACAAATAAAATTAAACAGGCATGTATCACATCTCTGCTTCATAAATTTGAAAATGAGTCACAAACAGACGCAGTAATATATCTACAGCTTTGCACATGTGGTGACCTACTGTAGCACAGCATTTTTTCCACTGAATGTTTCACTTCACATCCACCACAGCACTCAACACTCCCACTTTAAAGCCATTTCCAAGAAGATACTTTGTCTGGCCTAGGGGGCTCGTTCGGCCTCCCTGCTGGCTCTCTGATCACCTCTGCTGCTCCAGCCCTGACACAAAACCAAGAAAGCTGTTTTGAAAAGGGGACAAAACGAGAAAAATTGTTCATATCCATCCCCTTGAATCCGTGGCCTCTGGTTGAACCTGGAATCGGCGGGTCAAACTAGGACACCCCCATCAGGCCGATTGCTCCCCAGATCCAAAACAATGCAGGAGCATGCCACAAGCCCAACTGACTGATGAGAGGGAGGACGGAGAAACAGAAAGTGTGTGTGGCAGGGCGGTGTAAGTGATTTGGTAGGGGAAAGAGGGTTGCCCCATCCCAATTTAGATGGTGCTGTTTGATGTATACTACAATGCACTGTTTGAGTCAAACAATAAATCTAGAAAAACATTAAAAGATTTTGGAGACAGAGATAAGTTTAAAAGCCTTTGATTGTGGTTTACAGTAAGACAGGAGCTGCAACATGTAGCTGGATAAAATAACAAATGCTTGACTTGGTATTAAAGACTAGTAAAGCTTAATTATTACGGCCGCATGCTGCTTGAGGCCTGCTGGGTTATTTATTAGTGATACTGAAAGCAGGGATTCACCCTTTATTTTTGTGAATAACCTCAGTTGCCTGTTATGCAACCTGCAACCTTCGGTAAAGGAACTTTTTATTTTTCTAATGTTTTTTAGCTTGCTACAATCAGCTAAACTGTTTAAATCATGACAAACAAAAACTACATTTACAGATTATCAACTGTAATATAGTTACTGATTTTTTTCTTTTCTTATTGTGAAATTCTTGTCAGTTAAATTCACATTTGAATATTTTTTTCAAGGGAAAACGGTATGCAGATTTATCAGTAATGATAATAATTATCAGGTTAATTCAAAGTTATTTCTGACCTACAATAATCCTTTTCTTGATTATCCAATGAAATGTCAGAAACAGATGAAATGTGGTCATCATAACTTCAGTTTATTACACAACAATATTTTATTTTCTGTCATATAGAAAGAAGTTGGAAACAGCCACATTGTGGCAGTTTTGCTTGCACTGACTAAAACAACAGATATTTACCATCATATGAGTAAATAGCAATTCAGTGATTACACTAAAAAATAAAATGTTATATAGTTTTATTTTGTTTTTGTAAAGTCCATTTATGTATGTTTTGTCCCCATTTCTAACGTGCTATTGTATGTTCTATTGCTAAAATAAAAATTTTATTATTATTATTATTTGTGGGAGGGAGAATAAAAACCCAAACCTGATCAGAAGGACCAAAAGATCTAAAGTCTAATAGTTTTTCTTGCCTAGTTTCCAGGTTTTCCCAAATTCCAGGTTGTACTACAGGATGAGTACTTTAACTATTGACATTTTATTTTTTTAAATTGCTGTACTGATGCTTTATTCCACTAAAAATGCTACTTCCACTTTTGGCAACAGTCTGACTCTCCTCTGACCTCTTGAGCCGGTGACCGTCCGGTGAACCCAGGGTGACACCAAAGTGACCGTCCCTGGACAGACCCAAACACAGACTAAGACGACCACACAGACATTAGCTGCCATGTGCTCAGTAGTCTGTTTTCACTTTCTTCTCACATCCTTTATCTATTAAGAGAAAAGAGGCTCCCAGAAAGCATCAAAGCATTTAGATACAGAGCACAAGAATGTAGAATAGATAACGCTTCATTTTATCTCAGCCTTTAAATATTAAAAGGCAGCTTGTGACCATTTAATAGCAGTTGATACACAATATGATGAAGTCCAGTTTCATCATGGTCAGTGCAGTGGTTAATACCAGCAAGAAGGTTCTGGGTTCAAATCGTCCTTGGGCTTTACTTTGAAGGTGTGTGTGTTGATCCTAGAGGGATAAGAGGCTTAAAGTCCATTATGTTTGTACAGGTATGTTAATGTGGATGTTAGTTTAAAGTACGAATTTAGTAAAGTGTTATATAAATGCATCCCTTTGCAAACACAATCAAATCACAATTTCATGATTCGAAAGTATAATAATCTAAATAAAAAGCTAAATGCACATTTGATTAAATACAATACTGAAGTCATAAACTAAGAGAAAACTACCCTTGCACTGGTTTGCTTCCAGTGTCTGCTCTGAATTTAAACTTGCATGTATTCACAGTCTTGCACCAGTTTGTTAAGGTATTAAAGTTTTATAACAGGCTTTTTAAACAATTACACACCATGTCAATGTAATAAGAAACACTCTTTTATCATGTAATACATGTTTGTTTGTTTTTAAACTCTACCTTTATTTCCCCCCAGTTTGTTTAAATATTTAATGCAATCTTTTACAGTTTACAGATTTGATGCTTTATAAATTCTGGTTAAACTGGTAAGAAATTCACTTAATATAAATTCGTTTTGAGAACCTTTTGAGGTTTCAGGTTGGAGGATATCCTGCACAGATGGAGGCAAACGTGGGTGTTTCTCATTCTGGGTGAAATAATGTCAGTAAAATCACATGGCCTTACTCTGGTTTCTCTTCAGAGGATTAAGCCCCTCGAGGCATTTGGCGCTATACAAATAAAAGTGAATTGATCTGAAATGAATTTATATATTTTTTCCACTGGACACCAAAACAAATTAGAATCTTTCTGCGCACCACAACATCACTCATCCTCAGTTTCACCTACATTGCGAGTACCGGTGCTCCTGCCAGTCGGACTCGATCAGCTCGGGGAAGAACGCTGCCAAATCCTGGTCTTGCTCCTGCAACATGCAAGAAGGACTGGAAGTGCTGTAGAAGTCCACGATTTCCCCGGGTCCGAAAACTTGAAACTCCATATAGTCGAACATGATCTGTCGTGAGTCTCCGTGAAGTCCGTATGGGAATGTCGTCGGCATAGGAAAATCCTTCAGAGAGGGTGATTTCTCTCTGCACCGAAGTAGTTTAAAATCCACTTGATGCAAACTGTGTTAACACTGAAGCATGTCTGCGTTATGTTCAGAGGGGAGCAGGAACAAACCTATATTTCCCACAGATGGTCACAAACTGCATGTTGATGCGCAGCCAGCGGGCTGTAGTCCTCCATCAGAGAGCATCGGTAAAGCGCATTCAGGCTGCTTTGCATAACAAAGTTTGTTGCAGAACTTCTTCCACTTATCTCTTCTTTATTGACAAATGTCTCAATTCAACCTGCTTCATACTAGTTATGTCACAGCGACCGATGGTGTTACCTAATGTATGCGAGTGAACTCTCCGTGAACCTCCTCCTCCGTTGCTGCCCTTCACATGACCCAGCCGCTGTCTGACATCACCAGCAGAGGTGGAAACGAGCACTGAGGTCCTTTACTCGAGTAAAAGTATCCGTACAGGGTGGAAAAGATAAAAGCAGTCGGCCTCAGTCGAGATACCTTTCAGGAGCTAACTTCAGAGAGTTAAAATTAAAAGTTTGCCACTATTGATAAAGGACTTCACCTCTTATAACCGACTCAGAATGGACAGTAAAAGTATCAACAATGATCCATCACAGAGAAGAGCCATGAAACATTTACCTACATTACTAACGGTGCAATACGAGGACCCACCTCACATCAGAGTTTCTGTCTTTAAAATTTAATTAGAATCAGCTGAGTGGCAACACGAGGCACAGATGTATGAAATATTTACTATTATATATTCTGAAGTGGATTTTTTTTTTTACATATACTCATCTGTAATAGAATAGAATAGAATAGAATAGAATAGAATAATCCTTTAATTGTCCCACAAGGGGAAATTTGGTTGTATCAGCAGCAAAACAAACAAACAAACAAACAAACAAACAAACAAACAAACAAACAAACAAACAAACAAACAAACAAACAAACAAACAAACAAACAAACAAACAAACAAACAAACAAACAAACCCCTTACAAAGAATTCATATGATGCAGCACCACATAAAAGAAGCTGTGATAAATCCTGTGGTGACTCTAAGCCTGTGATGCATGTGCTATTTTAACATCTTAACAGCCTTTTTAGGATAATTTACTACAGAAATTTGTTGAGTCACACATTGTAATTTCTTACTGTGAAATAGGCAGCAGAAAAAAGGGAAAAAAGACTCACGTTTACTACACGTTTTTTTTAATCATTAAATACAAAAAAGAATCCCTTGATTATTGTGGGGAAAGTTGGAAATTCATCATAAGTCTGAATATTTTGGAGACCTGTAAAAATTAAGGTTTGCCTTGATAGTGCTTGAGTAGCTGACAATATGTACTCATGTCCCTGCTATATGGAGCTGAAATTAAGTTCATTTACCATAGTTAGGTTATAGCTTATCATAGAGACTGGATTCAGAGGGAGACAGCAAGTCAGAAAGTTACAAAAAATCAACCAACCAGCACCCTTAATGATGACAACTACACATAGTATATAATTAATTTACTGAGAGAATTTCACATAAAACACAATAAATTCAACAGCATCAGTAGGAACGAACCTGTTGAAGTTGGCTGAAGTATTGAAGTATTCTGTGTTAAATCACACATACATTTTTTAAATTCTTATATCCTCATTTATTTTTGGTGCTAATATCTTACCTAGCAAGTGGCTTTTATAGAATGTTGAAAAGTTCATTATTATAATAGTAACAAAAATAATAAGAATAATTATTATTATTAAGCTTCACCTTTTACCTGTTTTTGAGCAGATGTACAGTAATTAAGTCATTACATTTCATCCCTTGTTCCATATTAATTACATATCTTTCTTTCTCATTAAAAACAACTGCATTACTTCACTTAATTTCTTGTACGCTTCTTTCACAGGTATTGTTCACTCTTACATTAAACCTGCATTTTTCCAATTGCCAGCAGGGGAATGACTTCTTTTGGTCTGATTGAAGTCTGATTGAACTTTACTGAGAAGTAGCCCCTTGAGTTTATGGTTTCCTCTCTTAGTTTCAATAAATTCATACAACATAAATCTCATTTTGCAAATATGGTCACTATTAGAGCTAAAGAAGAGGTTAAAGCAGAGTTTGCTTTACCATGTGATTGACAAATCAATAGCCAACAAGTGTGCAGTGTTACTTGGTTATATCTAACTTGTGCTTGTGATGTGTGGTTTAAAAACGCAATGATGGAGGAACTTGTGGGTAGCTGACTAGTCCAAAGCCCAATATTGGGTAGCAGATATAGTAGTAAGTTGGACTACTAATTCATAATTTGAATCTACAAAACCAGTTATTTGCTTTTTCACCCCCAAGATGTTGCGACACCACCTGCAACTAGCCACAGACAACAGCATTTTTTAATATCTATGTGATATTGCATGAAGGCTGTGTCAGAGTAACCTGTAACCACTCAATAAAAGCAATATGACCATGTTTTCTACATGTGCATTGACATTAGCCTGCAGTGAAACAAGACTGCTGGCCCCAGCCAACTGGAAACTAGTAACTGAGCCCACAGAGTTCACCCGAAAGTGTTCACTGAGCTCAAAAAGAAATGGAGTCAAGGACCATTTTTCCACACAACAGGAAGTCAATTTGGAGCCAAAGGAGTTACTCAACTCCTGCTCATTAAAAAGAATAGAAGTTTAAGGCAGTGTTGGCTTTGCTTTTTAACCCTAGAAATTTTGTCAACCTTATAAATTAGACCGTTCCTGTTTTTGAAAAATCTTTTTCATCCCCAGTTCTTGAAGAGTTGGGTATTGTGTAAAATGTAAATAAAAACAGAATGCAGTACTTTACAAACCCCTCAAAGCAATATAAAACATGAGAACACTGAGAGATGTTACTATTTTATAAAAAATAATATCTATTTCTGAAAAAGATGGTAAAATGTGTAAAATTGTCCTGTCCCAACACATGTCGATGCCAAGTTTGATTTACCCCATAAGTCTAGACTTCAATGGCAAAAGTAGCTCTTTGTAATGTTCGCGCAGAAGATTTGACTTTAAGTTTTTTGCTTGAAAAATAAGAATAAGAAAATAAGAAAGGAAGAGCTGATGAAGAATAAATGGACTAACTGAGAAATCTTGTCGAGGAAAATTCATGGTAAGTTCTTACTACAGTTAAAATAGGTTTTATTATGTTAAGATGGTTTTGCAACCTGGATTTGATGTTTATGATGGCTTGTTGATGTAAAATAATAGTTTTTTATATACTGTAAGAGTATTTAATACAATAAGAGCTGGATGCCAGCTGTAGCCAACTTTTGGAGGAATAATACCTGTGGTTTTGCAACTTTTTCTTCTTTCTACTCATGAAAAACTGTATCAGCTTTTCTCCTGTTAAAAATCCAGTGCACATTTGCTTGAAGGGAGAACTTATTCCTTCATCTTCATTTCAGGTCAGAATAAACTTAGCAGTTACTTTTTCTAACAGACTCCTCTAGTAACCCGAACTTAGCTGTTACTGCATTTAATTTCTTTTTATTACAAAGAATTATTAGTTTGCAAATATGTTTCATAGGACCACATAGGGAAAAATTTGAATCCGATAACAAGAACTTGAGCCTAAATCCTCATGTTTTTATTGATAATCGAAATAATGCAATGGTAGTTATTTTTATACAACGAGCAAAAAGAAAGTGCTGATGAAATATTTGGTACACAGAGTTTTCAAAAAAATGCAAACCAACAGAGTCTAAAAATGTTATTAAAATTTGCTCACAGAATACAGTGATAAACTCTGATACTTTTGGCTGCGTAGATTTTGTCACAGATTTACATCGGATTCCCTTTCTGATGCAACCCTCCCATTTTTCCAGCTTGGGACCTCGTGAAACTAGATTTCACATCCATCCATCGCTTATCTGGATTGTGAGGGTAACAGCCAAAGCAGAGATGCCTAGAGAGAACTCCCTCTGGCCAGCCACCGCTCCAGGGTGTCCTGAGTTTGCACAGGCCTCCTGCTTGTAGAATAGGCTTAAAACACCTGACCTGGGAGGTATACTAATTAATCCGGTAAATAGTTCCTTTTGTCTAGACTGTGCTTGGAGTCCCACCCAAATGACTGAACTCTTCCCCTTAAGGGAGCCCAGCCACTCTTCAGAGAAAGTTAATTTCCAGGAGCTCATTCTTTAAGTTACTTTCCAAGATGCTCATGAGCATCAGTGAGGATAGGATGTCAGAACTATAAGTATTACTGAAATTATGAGTAGTGTTATTTAAACGTAAACGTTTAGAGCCAGAAGACATCACCACTACACTGTACCAACCAACTAGCAATTCCAGCCATCCATCCATTCTTCTTCTGCTTATCCTTATCAGGGTCATGGGGTGATGGAACCCGTCTCAGCTAGAGTGAGAGGGGGGTGGACAAGATGTCAATCTGACCCAGGCCTAACACACAGAGACAGACAACTATTCACACTCACATTTACACCTATAGGAAATTTCACCAATTAACCTAACCCCACTAACTGCATGTCTTTGGACTCTGGGAGGAAGCCAGAGCATCTGGAAAGAACCCAAGCAAACATGGGGAGAACATGCAGGGTACAGAGGACAGGTAGGCAAATGTGTTTTCAAACCAACAATGTAGCTGATTTGCCTTGAATACATCAGATTTTGTTCCAGAGTCAACACAGCAGCTCACTTGGTTTGGAGGTTAAACTTCAGACTGCCGACTCACCTGTATGGAGACAATAAATAGCTGATTGTTATTTAAATGGCAGTGGCCTTCTACTTGTTTTTTCAGAATTGTGCACACTCTTTTCAGCTTTATGCTTTTAACTCTTTCCTGAATAAAGATGACATTTGACAACCTCCTTGTACCCTTAGTTACAAGTTTTGACCCCTCAATAAAGACATGGTTTGACAACCATTAGAATAGGCAGAGACCACGCTCACTAAAGTCTGATGCACAGCCAGTCATTTTGTTCTATAAGCAGGCCTGAAATATGACAGGAAGTGCTCTGTTGAGAAAAGCGCTTTAGCAGTTACTCCTCGTAGTTTTTCAAGGGGTAAAGAGTTAAAAAGAGAGACCCATCTGTTTTAAATAAAGGGCATCAAAGTAAATGTGATAACACTGGTATTGGCATTCCATGATTAAAACCATGTGGCCTTTTACAAAATCAATACTTCCCAGGCTCCGTTTCTCTTAATTTATGTCCGGTTTAATTCTTGATCCTTGACTCTAAGTGAGAAGTATTTCCAGTTAGAAGAATTCATAATTAAATCTACCAGAAGA